CCCTCACTGCCCACACTAACTGCCCACCCTCACTGCCCACCCTCACTGCCCCCACTCGCTGCCCCCACTCACCGTTTTACACTAACATGAATATCATTTAACCATAATTTTCTCTGACTGCCTAAGACTTTTGCACAGTACTCTATATACTTAGACTGTTCTACTGTATTTCATCTTCCATATCTTCCATAATGTCAAACCCTGTTTGTACGATGAATAGCTATTGCATTAACGAGGTATGAGAAACTTCTGATATTTGTAGGCTAGAAGGTATTGTGGTGTGTCATGCTATTTCTGCGGCTTTATTGCCAAGTATGTCAACCCATGACTTGCATGTTTTGTAAATTCAAATTACATTGCACTTAACATGTTAGCAAAGGATTTGCCATAATGGTTAAAATATCATAACCCTACTGTAAATGTAAAGAATTTTATTTTTCTGCAGGAACCCTGCAGGAAAGGCAGGAACCCTCAGGGGGAACACGCTCAGTAATGGCAATTCAGGGACACGGATTCAGCGACCCTGGAGATGTCAGCTTAGACCAGTATTTTCAAATTCGGTCCTCGGGGAACCGCAGACAGTCCACGTTTGCCAGGAGCTGGGAGGGAGCAAAACTGTGGACCGTCTGTGGTTCCCTGAGGACCGGATTGGAAAACACTGGTCTGGAACATTAACCAGGGAGACACTATATTATAAATACCTATAAAGTTTTGAATGGATAAATAATTTGTATAAATAAAATACACATTTAATTCATATTAATAATAGTAATAATAGTGGCTATGATACAAAACATCCATATATTTTGACTGTGTATTGTACGATTCGCATAGCTGTTCGCAGACTAGCCTTTGCAGAGTGGAACATGTCTGAAACGACTCCCTTGGGAACTGACCAAGTTGCATCCTTATAAGATGCCCAAACCACCCCCGCTGGCTCCTCTCCATCCAAAGGAGCAATTCTATTTCAAGGTTCCTCTGGACCCTGTTTCTGAGGGTGAGGCCTACAGCTCATCATACTAGGTATGGATCTCACCAGGGACCTGTTCAGTACCCTCAAAACTGCAGGCGCCAAACTAATCAGCCCTATTACTATCACTCGTGAAGAAGATCTCAAGCCATTTAAATCCTTCATGAAAGGAAGACCGCCCCCCCCCTAACTTGAATGGAGCGATCTACACTTTTCTGAGAGCCCACCGTAGATTTCGAGGTGCAGATTCCCATCCCTGCTCCACCTTAAACCTGGAGGCCCTGGTTATGTATTATGCCAGAAGCACAACGTCATGCAAACATTGTGTCTGTCAGCTCTCGTCCTCCATATCAGGTGGCCCTCCTGCCATGGCAGCTTTTCAGCTGTCACGGACCCCCCAGGGAAAGCACTGGCCTGAAGCCTCCTTCTTCAGCTTTACAGCTTCCCTAACCACAGGCGTCCACCAGGGGGCTCAAGGCTTAACGCCATCACCATTACAGGCACCCGCTGCAGGGCTGCCAGCTCTGACATTCTGACATCTGGCATTCAGGCTCACACAAGAAATCTTACAGCAAATCTATATCGTTCCATTATAAACCTAAAATTAGCTACATCAAAAGCGTTGGCGTAGTTTACAAACCATACAGACTATTTACAAAGTAAAAAATCTCTCACATACATGTAAATGCATGTGCAGTCGTGTCTCAAATTGAAAATCTCAGCTAGCTAATGCTTTTCCATCTCCTGCACAAGCTTCCCTCCCAGAGCTGGAGTCCATTGCCAAGATCCATCTGGGTCCTTTCCTGTAACTTTTGTTGTCCAAATGGCACTACACCTAACCCTACACCTAACCCTACACCTAACCCTCACCTTTCAACTTGCAGGAGGTGAACCGACAAGGTGGTATGCATATAGTACTGTACAGTTTAACATAAGAACCAATGGAAGTATAGAGTTACACAATTGAAACTAAAAAGAACTACTTCTATTCTCCCAAAAGTTAGTCATATCATGCTTCACTGCTAGCAGTATACTGCTTCACTTTCCAAAACTCTCCTCAGGAGCACATTAGCCAATGCATGTATTTGTTAAATTTCACCACCAGCTCAATTAATTAATTAATCTCATTAGCTAAAAAAAAGTCAGTGAAATATTGATTAGCCATACGAGGTAAAAAATACGTGGGTGTATTGGATGGTTGCTAAAATACTGGGGTGATTTCTTTGGAGGTTCTGAAACGGCTACGCTGACACACATTGACGGACATAGTTTTACACCAACATGAAGGTCATTTAGACGTCATTTTCTTTGACTTCAGCACAGTAATGTAAAAAAGAAAAACATATTTCAATACAAACTAAAAATAAAGATTATCTGCATGCAATCTGTGATAGGAATATTAATATCTATTAGAGTAACGGAGCTCAAGTAGAAGAGTTCTGGAATTGTAATGTTTTGGGTCATGCTTTTGATTATGAGTGTCTCTCACCTACCTTCTTCAGTGATGGGCAGTCCAGCGAAACCTGGCCATTTACGAGGGCGGGACACACAGGACGTGGAGGGAAGCAGGTGAGAGAGTGAATTCCGACAAAAGGATGGACGTTGCAGACCACACCAGCAGGATTTATCATGGCGTACGATGGATGGGAAAAACACAGAGAGATTTTTACCTCATATTACCCCCAAACCGAACAAGTAAGTGAACATGAACAGCATGAACCCGATCATGGAGCAATACTGTATAGCAGAAAGCATTAGTATGTGGGGAAAAGATAGGCAAATGTGTCTTTTTGTAGATTAGTGAAGGCCCCAGCTAGGTGTGAAGGCCCCAGCTAGGTGTGAAGGCCCCAGCTAGGTGTGAAGGCCCCAGCTAGGTGTGAAGGCCCCAGCTAGGTGTGAAGGCCCCAGCTAGCTGTGGTCACATGACTTCCTCGCTGTCTCCCGCTAAAGGAGCAGCATCTGTGGTGTGTCAGTTTGTGTCGACTAAACCATCTTCACAACAGCTCCTCTACTGATGCCAGATTTCTTCATATATACATTAACTTCCTTTTTCCGTTCCTTCTTCTTCAGTTTGTCATTCTGTTTATGACTTGAAGCATTTTGAAACTCATTGTATCCATTGGATATATTAATTGTTGTAATATTGTGAGTGTTCTTGCTTGATGATGACCGTTGGGATGATTCTCATTCTCAGTGACTGATGTATTTTCTTTCTGTTGTATTTTTCACAGTTCGCTTAAACCTTACTCAGCTGTTCTTTGCTCTTCTGAACTGCCTTTGAAATTAGTGTTTTTTTTTCGCACTTGACTTTGAACTGGCTGTTTTCTGAAGTGGCTTTGAACTGATTTGTTTCCAAAATGCATTTCCTCTTGCAGTGCCCTGCCCCTCATTAGCCCTTCCATTTATTTTTTTGTTTCATCGCCTATATTATGTCCAAACAAACTGATTCATCTTTAGCAATTTATCACTGAACAATAATCTCCAGTCGCTGAAAAAATACACCACCACACATAGTACATAACCTTGTGTAATATAATTTCATCACATCAAGTTTTTCATAATGGAGTGCCTGGCATCCTTTATGTATTTGCCTTGTTACTTTGCTTGTCTGTGATTCCCCTCTTTGCAGTGAGGATCCAGTGACACGGTCCTATTCAAGATTCAAGAGATTTATTCGTCACATACAGTACAACATGCAGTGAAATGTATCTCTGAGTCGCCCTTATTTGGCTGTGAAAAAATACAAGAAAAAAGGTAAGAAGTAAAGTAGGAGTAAAAAAGAGAAATTACAATATATAAATACAATCTATGGAACCAAGTATATAATCTAAAATATACAATGCAAATATACAATCTAAAATCAAGAATCTAAAATATAGTGCAAAATCTGAAATATAGTGCAAATGTGCAGTATTTGTGCATTCCAGTGCAAACGTACATAGTGTACAGAAAGGACTAGAGTTAGTCTGAATTGAGTAGCCTTATGGCTTGGGGGAAAAAACTCTTCCTGAGTCTCTCAGTCCTGGACATCAGGCAACGGAACCGTCTGCCTGCGTTCAGCCTGCGGAACAGGCAGTTTGCGGGGTGTAAGGAGTCCTTAATTATCTTGGTACCTCTGGACCTGCAGCGTTTATTGTAGGTGTCCAGCAGGGAGGGCAGAGGAGATCTGACACGACGCTCGGCCGCCCTGATCACCCTCTGCAGGTCTTTGCAGTCCTTTAGAGAACGGTTCACAAACCATGTTGAGAGAGGTTCTCGATTATGTCGTGCTTACCCTGCCCTGTGGCAGTCTCATCTGCCATCCTTGCTTTCTTCATCATCTTGACGGTTCTGCAAGCTCTGCACTTTCAGTGATGAGTCTGCAAATTAGAACCATGGAACAAAGTAAAATGTCTGGGTGGGGAGGCTTAGAAGCTTAGAGCAAAAACAGGGCATGATGGGAAATGAGGCACATTGATTATTATGCATCTGAATCAAAGAATCAAAACTGAACTGACCACTCACATGCACCCATAGAATAATTGTTGGCTTGTCATTTATTTTCTCATGACTGTGTATGACAGGATGGATTTTGTGTAACTTTAGACTAATTTGTTGCCAGTCTCCTTTGTATAAGGTGCAGTTCCTCAGTGAGTCATACCCCAGGGTATTTTCCTCACTTTGGCGAACTGCCATAAAACCGCCCAGTTACCTTGTGTAACTGCCTCCTGGAAACAGACAGACACAAGTAGCTTATAAAAATTCAACATGAGGTGACCGTTTTCCTGAGTTCTGGATGAAGGCTATATCTCTCTCCTAGGAATCTGAAGCAGACATTTTTTGAGCAAACCTTGCAATTGTTAAGACGTGGAATGAATGAGTTAATTGCGAAGCGCTTTACGGACCAGTGGAGATGCTGACATCGGCACCATCTCTCACAACTTGACAACTTGACTTGACTTGATACCATCATTCTCATCATCATCATCATTATCATCATCATCATCATCATCAGGTTGAGAGATGAGTCACCTGGATGGAAGTTTCATGTTGCTAAAAGAAACCTAACCAGTCCTTAGTATTTATTTTTTGTGATCCCTATAAAACTGCTTGCTAATGTATTTAATGTGATGACATGTCAGCAACTAGCACCATAAAGTCTGCCCCAAGGATGTGAAGTTTGCGTGCCAAACAAATTATATTTTTGTTAAAATCAGAGTATTAAATGTACAGTTATGCATCAAAATCAAGTGTAATTGTAATAGCATTTGTTGTCATTCAAAGAATAGCATAAATATTATGCATTTAAATAAAAAAGCAAATAAATAAAAAATAGCAGAGCTCAAAAATACACCAATGATCAATTCCTAAGAGTTTCCTGCTGAACAAAAAATAGACAAATCAGTGCTCTGACGCACAACTACAGCTGGTGTGAATTCCGCGCATTACAAGCTGCATGGCTGCTTAGCAAATCAACTGTGGCTACTGTTTTTAGTTTTCTGCACAACTAATAAGTCATGGACCTCGTAAAACCCAGCGTCTACTTCTCATGATGAATTTTGACCTAACAATAGCTCCATGCCTATTTTATGCATATAGTATTTAGCAGCCACGCCATTGGTATTGGCTGACTGCAGAGGAAGGCGGAACCCAAGGTGTATTCTGGGAAACGCTTCCGTCAAGTCGCACCAGGGACTTCAATAATAAGGACACACAGAAGTGAGTACAATACAGTTTTACATGTTTCTTAAATTGAATTTAAATTTACTTTTACTTGTGCAAATGATGTCTTTTATGTCATACTTTCTAGTTTCTCTCTTTTTATATATTAGGCATACATACAGCTGTTGATTTTCCTGCACTTGTATCAAATTATTCTATACTAGTTTTTCTTATTCTCTGTAACTTAGTCATTCGTTTGACGACATGATGGCTATTACAGTAACTCCAGGTTGCTGTTTCGGTATGTTTTTGTAGATGATACAAATATGCATTTTTTTTAAGATTATAGCTCCGTCACTCACACTCAGTTGCACTAATATGTTTTACAGTTACCTAAAATTCTACCCTTTTGGATAAATCACTTTATATCTCTCTTGCTTGTTGTAATTGCACCATTGTCCTGTGAGGCACTTTGACTCCCAGCCTTGCTTGTGTGGAGTTTGCTTGGTCTTTGTGTTGTTTTGTATGAGTTCGTTTCATACCTTTAAAAAATGCAGTTTTGTGAATTCCATCTATCTCCTTATTCTGGTCTGGCTCACAGGGGGTCTGGAGCCTAATCCAGGCCGCTTAGGGCTCAAGGCTGGGATACACACTCAGAAAAAAGTGCTAATTTGTACTTTTGAGGTACAATTACTTGTTATAGGGCAGTACGCTTAAGGGTCTGCCAATTTCCCCCCAGCTCTAAGGTAAATGTACCTTTTAAGGTACATAAATGGACAATGAGGAACATTTTTGTACTATTGGGGCTACATTAATGTTGTTTGTACCTTGGAGAAACTGTACCATGGCCATACTCTTTTCTCTGACAGTGCAGGATGCCAGTCCAACAGATGGTGCACGCACACACAATCATGCTCTATGGGCAATTTAGAGACACCAGTCAGTCTAACTGCATGTCTTTGAAAACCAGTGGAGGAAATCCATGCAACATGGGGAGAACATGCAAACTACACACACAGAGCAAAGGTAACATCTGATCCCTCCCAAAGCTGGTGGTGTGAGGAGATAGTGATACCCGCTGAGCCCCCGTAGAACCTCAGTTAGGGTTTGCTGTATTGTGCCATGTGTGATACCCACTGAGCCCCCGTAGTACTTCAGTTAGTTCTGTGTTGTTCATTAAAGTTTCAGAATGATGGATTTGTTGTGCAACATAGTTTTGACTAATATATTTGTGCTAAGACTTTATGGGAGCAAAACTGCATTCAGGTAGTTTACTGTTATGAGATATTTTTGTTCTAAAATGACATAGAAGGGAGGAACAGGGAGCCTCTCTGGAGAAACTGGGGGTAAGAGTCTGGTAGGTGGTCTGCAGATTAGGACTGCGATCGGAAGGTTGTCTCTTCAGAAATCAAATCGCTGGCTCTTGAACAAGAGTCCCTCAACCCCAATTACTCAATTTTCAGTTACTGCTGATAAACCTGTCTGTAACATATCTGTAAACTGTAACATATCTGTGGATAAACCTTTTTTATCTACAATATCTTATTTTTTAAAAAGATGATGTCGCTCCTGAACTGTTGCTTTCTTCACCAACACTTGAAGTTTTCTGTGTTTGAGCCCTTATCTTTTCCATGATTTTACCAAAACAGTAGCTCAGTCAGCCTTGCTGTATGTTTGTTGGTTGCCCGTTCTTCATTGACTACTGTATGATTGGTTTGTATTGAGTTTGTTTTTAAGATGTGGTAGGCTGATGTGTGCCATCAACAATGTTCTTTATTGACAGTTTATCTAAGTTCCTCATGTCACATAAATTTTATATGATGATAAATTGATACATCATTTATATTTTTCAGCCCTACACTGTAGACAAATTGGATCTGGGGTGAGTTTCCCAAAGCCTTCTCAACGCTGTCATTCGAGAGTTCTCTCTTTTAGCATATGAAGTTACAAACCACGTAGCGTTATGAAGGCTTCAGGAAACTCACCCCTGCAGAATTTGACAAATGTGGTGTGGAAATGCATGACCTACCAGCACAACAGTTAGTCTTAGGCTAAAATATGTTCCGTCATGTTACAGTAATTCCTTACATTTTTTTAAAGATATTTTTGCTACTTATTTTGAGTATTCTTTATCTATGTATTTTATTCATAAATTCTGCTATCTATTTACATTAGGGATTTAGTAAAATGTTGTCAACACATTTAATACTGGAATTATGCATATTGTTTTTCTTTTTTAAGCATAATTGGGACCCACATCATTAAATGATGCACCACTATAATTAACTTTAAACCATATTTGAAGCAAAGTAAAAAAAAAAAAAAAAAGTTAATTTATTCAATTATTTCAGACACCTAACATGAAAAACTGTATTTAGGCTGCATAAACCTCAGTAATAATTAGCAAAAGATCTGTTCTGAAGCAGGCCGGTTTATAATAAGCTGCCTCCAGACCTCTGACATCATTAAGCAATGCTAATTTGTTTATTTGCAGCTCATTAGATAGTGACATTTATTTATGTAGCAGCAGGAGTGCCAGGTGCCGCAGATTTTGGGCCCCCAAAATTACAGGTTATCAAATTGTCCCCCAACTCTGACCAAGCTAGTTATACAGTATGCCTGTTTTTTAAGGCCCC